TATTCCTATCAAGAGTATACTGACTAAGCAATGTTCGATACCACTTAATGCCGTTTTTTCATAAAATAAATACTGCTTTTAAGCTTGAACAAGTCAGTTGTGAGTAGGACATGATGAATTGTACTCAGCAATTTAGTTACGTATGTGAAGGAAATCCTTCTTGTGAATATCATTCACTCATTGCATTCTGGCCTTGATATGTGTGAATTGTTGTTGTGTTTATATTCATATTATTATATTTATTACTATTATTATACTATCCACTTTATGTTTGAAGCTCGAGAGTTCGAAATTTGAGCATACACATTACACCATTACCACCCACTCTCAAAAGACGAATGTGGTGGAGCTCCATGGCTTGTTTACACCAAGTTCTCAACGTTTGAGCGAGTATCTGTCTTAAACCCTCCTCTTGCTAACTATGGTGGCTAATGTTCAGAGATGCTCATGGAAAATGAGTCTTGTGCTATGCATATAACTAGTTGGACAGGAACAATTGGCTCAAAGTGATAGTCTGTCCTCCAAATATCTGGTGATCATTTGTCTACTGTAGAAATTGATCCATAGCTCAGTCGAGAAAAAAGGATTTCCCAAAATTTGTTGAACTCACAAGAAGTCTGAATTGTATTTTTCTGAGGACCATTGAAGTTTACAGGCTCTTTCACTGAACATTCATTTCATCAGTGATAAGTGCGAAACAATCGTATATGTGTAGATGCAAATTTATCTTTTTAATGATTACACCTTCACTTGTGTAATCTTAATGTTTACAGTTTACAATTTATTTAGGATAGTAGGCTATATGCCTGTGTTAATTCTTTCGATTTGTTACACACAGGAGGTCCAATCTCGCCTTGAATGAATCAACGGATGGCGCTGATACGACGGGTTCCGGTAGGGAGTTCAAATGGTTCACAATTCGATGCGAAAAACGGATCTCCAGACGCAGACGACTCGACCGTGGTTTTTGAACCTTGAGGTGATGTCCTCGCAATTGGTTGGTGCTAGAAGGAAGAAATAAATTAGATAAATTTGCTCCAAAATCATTTCTTAGGATACGGTATGCTAGTATTAGGTCACCCCTTAGTCGTCTGTATGACAGTGGAAATAAACCCAGTCGACTTAACCTCTCTTCATATGAGAGGGTTGAGAAACCCTTTATTATCTTAGTTCCTACTCTTTGCACCCTTTCTAATAAGTCTATTTCATATTTAAAACACGGGCTCGCTGCCTGGATCCCATATTCGAAATTAGGTCTGATATAAGTCGGATATAATATACGAAATATTTCAGCGTCAAAATTCGCAAAAGCCTTGCGTATGGCCCATAATATTCGAAAACCCTTAGTGGCTGCAGCTCTACAGTTTGTTGCTGTTTTCAAGTCATGCTGCACAATCAATCCCAAGTCCTTGTACTCAGTGACCACTGGGAGAGTAATGCCATTCATTGAGTAATTGTGCACGTGACTATGAGATACGTGCATAACTACACTCTTGCTTAAGTTAATCTCCAAGGCCCAGTGCTTACACCAATCACTTAACAAGTTTAAATCTTCCTGCAAAGCAAGTTGATCACTGTCATCGTGTAGAGCCCTCCATATCTTGATGTCATCAGCAAACAGTAAGCAGGATGACTTAACTACCGATGGAATCTCATTAACATAAATCAGGAAAAGAAGTGGGCCTAGAATTGTACCCTGAGGAACGCCACTCTTAACCGATTCCCATGTTGATAAAACCCCGTTAACTCGTACTCTTTGTCTTCTGTCCTTTAGAAAGTCTTGAATCCAGTCAGCAACCACTTTATTGATTCCCATACTACCTAACTTTACTAGAAGACCTGAATGAGAAACCCTGTCAAATGCCTTGCTAAGGTCGATGAATATGGCATCCACCGGTATATTAGCATCAGCTGAGCTTGCCCAACTTTCTCTGGCCAAAAGAAGGTTGGTCAAGCAAGAATGACCTGCTCTAAAACCATGCTGTTCCACAGCGAAAAGTTTGTTCCCTTCAATGAACTGAATGATAGCATCACGAATTATTCTTTCTAGCAGTTTAACAACAATACTGGTCAAACTAACAGGATGATAGTTCTGAACTAAGTTTCTAGATCCGGTTTTGAAGACTTGACTAATGATGGCATCTTTCCAGTCTCCTGGACATTTAGACTGGTCCAGAGACATATTGAAGATTACCGACAATGGCTCGGCTATGTTTTCAGCCAATGCTGTTAATATACGTGGGTCGAGTTCATCAGGGCCACTGGACTTACTAGGATTGAGCCTTAGAAGCCACTTTAGGACAGTATCCTTTCCAATGTATAAGGGTGCCATTTTCAAGTTACCTCCTGGAAACGTTACAAAGCTGGTATCAATATTATCAGAGAATACTTGACTAAAGTGCTTGGACAAAGCCTCAGCCTTAGTCAAGTTATCCTCAGCCATGTTTGTCTGATCATCTTCAAGCATAAGAGGTGGGATAGCATCACTCGTACGTGTTCTTCTCTTGAAATATGAGAAGAGTCTTTTTGGGCAGCCTGGTGAACTTTTGACTAACTGGGTTTCGTAAGCTATCCTTGACTGGTGAATCAAAGTTTTACACTGGTTTCTGGTTTCACAGTATTTCAGCCGGAACTGCTCTAGCCCAGTAGAAACAAAGAGATTCCAGAACCTTTTTCTCCGTCTTAGGAGTGTTATAGCTTCTCTATTTATCCATGGTGGCCGATTTGTTGGCCTTTTAGGAACCCTCCAGTGAATGAAATCAGTGGTAACCCTCTCAAGTGTATTCTTAAATCTATCCCATTCATCTTCAATGGATGTAACAATATTGACTGACCAGTCGGCAGTTGAAGCACGCTCCTTTATAGCGACTTTGTCAGCATGCCAAACACTAGGTCGGGATTTGGGTTGAAAACTGACTAAATTGCCAACCCTTAAGTTAAAATCTAACACCCCATGATCACTGTTTGCTAGAGGTGGATGAATAACTAGACCATCCACGTCGTCGTTGTCATGAGTAAGCACTAAGTCCAGCAAGGAAGATCCTTGGGTAGAACCGAATCTTGTACTACCTAAGACATGTTGTGTCAGGGCATTTTCCATGGTAGTCAAGAGTAACCGGCTGTCAAACTTATTAGTGGATCCTGGAGATGTGACAGCTACCCAGTCTATATGAGGTGCATTAAAGTCACCTAGAATAAGGCATCTACTGTGTTTACTCCATTGTTTGAGTTGATCTAAAATAAAGTCATCACACTGACAATAGGGACTTCTATACAGAACTCCAATGAGTAGAGTGCCAGCTGCAGAGCTTACTTCGCAGCTAATTACCTCACTTGTCACACTGTCATGCGCTTCAGATTTCACGGAACAAACATGTAGGGAGTTGTTGATGTACAGAGCAACCCCGCCACCTCTACGACCCTTAACCCTGTCGCTGCGCAAGCAACTAAATCCGCATAGCTCGGGTGTGTCATCTAATCCAGAAACCAGCCATGTTTCAGTAATGGCCACAATACTTGGGCTAAGGTCTTCCACTAATACACCTAGCTCGTGAAGTTTGTTCCCGATACTACGTATATTAGTGTAAACTACCTTCAGGCTTCCTTTGCGGTCCGGCTTATCCACACAGGTATTGGAAGCATACGTTTCCAAGACCTGACTATTTGAAAACCCACCAGTTTAAGGTTAGTCTCATCATTTTTACGTCTTGTTTCTAGCTGGGACAAAACTTCTTTTCGTTTAAGTCTGTCTTCAAGAGATAAATCAGGTCTGACTGAAATTCCTGACCCGGCAAGGTTGTGTACACTAGCCAGTAGATGATTCCGTTCATCAGGAGAATCTAAGACTACTTTAAGCAACCTACGCTGATTAGAACATTCATCATCTCTTTTGCCTATTCTAATCAGCTTTTTAATCGATACTCCAGGGAAATTCGCTGGAAGCATCTTCCTTATAATACTACTCACTAATTTAAGGTCGTGATCGTGCCTTTTTACGATCAGATTCTTTGGATCTGCTAGTTTCCAACAATTATGTTAGAGTCTAAGGAGAGCTTGTCGTGTTTAGCAGTGGCTACGTCTTTTCTCACCACTATTGATGCAGCCTGGCTACAGGTGACAGACGTTTGACTACCATCAGTATTACTATGTTTCTTCCGATTGCTTATTTTCGTTACCCATTGATCATCTGCCTGCAGTTGCTTCTCAGGGCTGCTGCAGTTTTTGATGGTACAGTCAAGATCAGTGTCTGTACCACCTTCATGGTGAACTTCGCTTACAGTGTTCTCTGGTGCTGAGATGCTGTTTGCAGCTTCCGTTTTGTTACCCTTTCGCTTACTAAGACGCTTCGAACGCCTAGTAGGTTTTACTTCCGGGGTAACTGGGATAGTAACCGCCGGTGTGGTAACATTCATGATGGCACTTGCTGCGTCATCTTCAGGCGGGCAGTCTGTGTCACTATTACTAGCCACGCTATCATCAGGAAGTTCCATAGCCTTAGACAGTAGTTCGTGAGCCTCCCTTATCAAAGTCATCTTTGGGGAGCAACACATTCTGCACATCCAGTGGGATGTTGGAGCACTACAACGTTTGTATGCAGCTGGACGTAATCCAGTACACATCTTATGACACCACTATTTGCAGTTATTACACTGTATTCCATCACCTACCAAAAAGTAACACTCCACCCTATTACATTTATGTGGTACTTTTGACATAATGAACTACTAGAACAGCCAAGACAATTTACACAATATAGACTATATAAATGTTTAAAATCAAAACTTAACAGACAAAAGTCAAGTTAAAGTTTTTTTAAATGTTCTTGAAGTGAATAACACACAAAAGAAAACAGCGATTTGTAAATACGTGAAAATACGTGAAAAAAGCACTCCCCTTTTCAAACAGCGCGCGATGTGAATGCCTGAACATTTAAGAACATTTAAGATGATATATTTTATTTATCAGAATAGCAATTATTATGCAAGCAAAAAGACATTTTACTTCACAGAAAGGGAACATGATTAACATTATTTCACCGTTAAAATGATAAATATCAAATCATGAATAAGAAACACCAGGTTCAACACCACTCTCTGGCATATAAAACAAACAAATAATTACTGTTATTTGTTCCATATTTTAGGCAACATTAAAGTAGTATAAACAATGACGAAAAGGCAGCACACTAGTAACCAGAGGATAAAAGCCTCAACAAATTGCGATGGATACGGTGAAAACCACCATACTACCAGATCCAAGTTGTTCATAAAGCCAAATATTAGCTAGTGATGCAAAGAGAAAAAGCAAAGACAGAATACATTAGCTGAAATTCACATTCAATAGTAATCAGTTAATACATTTGTGAGAGTCCATTACACTGATATATATTCTAATTTACAGAATAAAATCTGGAGAAATAATCCAACATTATGGTATCTACGGATTCATTATCAAACGGTAAGTCATTTCTGATGCATATTTTTTCTGCTTGACTTCTTGTATACATATCACAAGCTGCGGCTACAAAAGAATTCTGTTTTGAATAGCTACCACCGTTTCCACTTATCTGGATTCATATATGAGTACTTTTCAGTATGATGGTTTTCCGCAGCTCGATTATTATTATTCCTTTGGATTTCAAGTTGAACAGCTCATCTACAGTTCACCCAGTTCTCTGTAGTCACACACACCAGGCTTTAGTATTCCTCACAATCTCGCAACTCCTCCACTTCACACCATCTCCTGTGTATCAATTCTGAACTACCTCTCAACTCGCTTCTTCCCATCGTTATTCTACTTGAGTGGTGCCAAGGCACACAATGACTTTAAAGATTCCTTTGTGTGTGTACCTAATTTGCCTCCATTTCCTTCGGTATAATAGCTTGATAAGATGTTCTCGTTGCCTTGACGCAAAAATTGCCTGCTGCCTATCCGTTCTGGGTGGCCATTTAATTCTCATTATGGAACAAAGTGAGTAATTGTTGATGAGTCTTCATTTACCCGTTAAAAACTTTAGTGAAACGTCACATCAAGTCTCTTGACCCTATAGAAGCATAAATTTTCAATTAGTGTTGAAAACTGTAGAAAATTGTCCTATAATGATGGTGACAACGTTAGGGTATAAACTATTTAGTTGACTTCACTAAATTCGAACTTCCACTAATTCGTAGGTATTGAACTAAAACGAAGCAGCTGCCGATTTTCCTCTGTTTTCACTGGTTCTGTATCTCATTACCAATTTTCGGTTAAACAAGAAACAAATTGAATTGTCTTAAACGAACCCTTGACTATTACGGTTGTCGCATAAGTAAAAATATAACCGAATTTAGCCCACGGATAAACTTACACAGATTATGAATAATCCAAAGATGATTGCCGACACAATGCTGAAGATTGGTGTCTATAACAAACAGAAAAAGATGGCAATTTCAGATGATAGGTATACTCACGTTTTGTTAAAGCTATCACACTCACATAATTATTGATATTGACATATCATAATTACAGGTTAGCGAATCGTTGAGAAACTGGAAAGTACTGAACAGCCATTTTGTCGCAGTTTAAGAATCTTCAACGAAACGCAACCGATTGGGTTCAAAATCAGCACCTTCAGAGTTATCGTAAAGTATCAAAGGTCCTTTAATATAGTGGAAGAGATTTACAGTCATGTTGGTACTAGTAATCTTAATTTCGAACCACAGTCATCACTAATAAATGCTGGATACAATGGACCAAAATATCTTCATTTTCAATAGATTAAAGCGTGTGAATGCTGCTAAAATTCATTTATTGAATAACTAATTTACGTATAACCCTCTCATGAACATTCAGTGGTGACCCAGTTGTTTATATTGAAGTCACATATCTTATAGCTGTTAGCAAATCCTTTAAATGTCAGTAGGGTGCCTATAAATATCTAAAGAGCCTGAGTATTTGCCAATCGCAACACGAGCCACTGAATTGTCGTTGAAATGGTAGCTGATTTTTTTCCTGCATCACATTTAATGCAGTCCGGATTCAACATCTTCCAATTCTCTATCGCATTAAGGCTGAATTCGCAGTTTTCAATGAGTGATTTATATGTTCACATATTTCAAAGTACAATAAAATGGATGGCAGGTTCCATTTGATCGTTGGTGTTGGAATATATTTATTGGAATCCGGAATTCACTAGCTTTCAAACGATTGTTCCTAGACTATCAATACCGAATTCTATTTAATAGAATAACGAGGAAATTCATTGGTTGAACAGAGTTTTGTAAATTAGGTACATTTGTAGATAAACTTACATTTGGTTGCTTGATGACATTAAATATTATCAAGATAGTTGATAAAATCAAAATGGTATATGATATTGTAGTAAAGACAACCAACTGATTATCATCCATTGATGGTAATTTCAATGCCAACCCCACAGTCGTGATTGTAATCACAATTGTCAAAATCAGTGATATCAATCCATGGAACATGTCAACAGATCCAAAGCCAGCAGCCAAGCTCACAGACCACAGCAAAACCTACAACGAGTAAAATTGAGGACAAAATAATTGTTTAACAACTAGAAGCTACGTGAAGAATAAAATACCTTGAAATAGTTCAATCTTGTGACATTTTTTGGTTTCTCATTCACGGCCGATAAGCTGGATCTCAAATGAGTGAAACAACTGCCTCGTGTTTAGGTTACTTATACGGTACTAGCAAGTAAGCATTACGGGTTGGTGTGAGTGATGCGTGTTTTGAACAATAGACGAGATCAAGCTGAATTCTCAAACAGGCATAAATAATTTATTTTTAAGTAAATTATCATATTCCCGTCGATTAACTGGGAATATCATCACTCAATATGGAGTGCAGGTGAATCAAGTTGGCCAGCCCTAAATACGATGAACTGAGCATACTCTGAATTCCTCTACTAATCACCATTTATCAAATCACTTCAAATTAACCCTCAGTTATCGTTGAACCGTACGTATTAGGTGCCGGACATTTCCGTGCCATCAATCAACAGAAAAACTACGATTGTCCTAAAAACGAATAATAACTGAAGTCCATTTTCAAAGATGTAAACCTCTTGGACTTGGAGGTATAGTGGTCAGTGCTTTGACGTTTAAAATCATAGGTAATCGACACTAGCTATTTAGGAACACCATCGCTCACTGGAGAATGCAAGTATATCCAGCAAACCAGTTTCAAATAGGTTCAAATGTACTTGCTCTAGGGTCGACTGTCGAACATTGTATACGGATAAATTTCCACAACATGATATAGTTGCGCATTTCCTTTTTTCGTAAACATAAGCGCAAAGTTTGCTTAATTGCATAGTTATACAACTAAATTGACACTTACTGTACTTCCAAGCAGCAAATGAACACAGAAGACGTTTGACAAGAAGTTTGTCATAGTTATTATTGGAAGTGGTAGAATGACACCGACAAATCTGAAATGAATTTGCAGACACCAGTAAATTAGACTAACCAACATCCAAATAATTGAGAATGCTTTTGGTATTTTGAGTTTAATTTAATACGGGAGCATCCGACCACACTCATTCAACATTTCCACTCTCTTTTGTGGTGATAACACTTGACAATATATGGTTCAGCCGAACAACTCAGATATGTTCTCAAATCTTTCTCGCTAACTAAATATAAATGTGTGTACAAATTCGAATATATCTGTGGTGATAAAAATATTCATATGGCAGAAAGAAGGACACACCTTTAATTTTCTAAACGTGCATCAAAACGCCTGCGTTTCAAAGGTGCAGACGCTGACGATAGTAAAACTGGATACATCCCATCAATACGGGTCCTGAAGTGAACATTATGAAATCTTTAAAAATTATCAACGGAAAAAATTGTTCAGTTGTCCAGGCTTTAACTGAAACAATCACAATCAAATGCTTGAGAAATGGTTTAAGTTTCCACAAACAAGCAGTTGTCAGTCTTTTCTAGCTCTGGTAACTGGATCTCTTTTATTCTCTATTTCATTTGATTGCAAGATTATTTGGCTCTAACCACTCTGTGCTTTGATAAAGTGTAACTTTGTTTGTCTTTTCTTTCTGTTTTCTGATTTGAACTCACATCATTTCTACTCTTTTTATTAGTTACTTGTCTTCTTTCTCATCCCTTATATTTCGTGTGTAACTCCTTTATCACTGTAAACAAAGACTGATTTTTCATTATAATAAAGGTCTTTGTATTTCACAATGAATGAAAAACAGAACGATATTGGTTTTGCTGGCGTTTCACTATTTATTGTTAATAGATTTTGTTTCAACTTGAACTCTCCAGGTATAAACTATAAAGGTGTAATTTTTTTCGCACTGTTTATTGAGTTTCTGTCCCGCTGTTTACTGACATCATGTATTATTTGAAAGTACATTAAAGTGTTCTGTGCACAAAGTTATTAGTTTCTGTAAGCTGTAAGTGACTGATGAGAATTCAACGAAATATACAAAGATGGTACCGTCATATTCTGCAGAAAATAGTGTTGCAGCTTTATTTGAATACGTCGGTCATCGGAAGACATGTGCGAATAACAGAATCTTTTGTATTTTGTTGCCAGTTCGTATTAGTCAGGTTGTGTACTGACTGAGTCCGCGATTCAGTATATTACGTTTAACAACGCCTGGTATAAGGTAGCATATCAGTAATTACACCAGACAGCCTACAAAGTCTCAAGTATGAAGATGTCGAGTTTGCCAACGATCACTGCTGAATTTTTAGAAGTCACATACATAATACCTCCTAAATTATCGGTAGTATTATTTACACAATAATAACTGATTAGGAAGGAAAGTGAACGCATTTAGTAGATTACTAAACATAATAAAAGGTACATGGAACTGAGACCACTTTGCGCAATACTGGTCAAAGTAATCTACGAAGGTCAGCTTTACACTCCGGCACATTTTACGAGCAGCGCTAGTCTATTTTATTCAGCAAATAATCCCTGAAAGCTAAGCCTTGGAAAACAATCGTGATTTCAAATAGGAAACGAATCACTAAATATATTACTTAAAGTTAATAATTAAGATAAGCAACTGGGAAATACTGAGATCTAGTACAAGACGCTTTGAAATCGTATTCCTCTTACGCAGAATAAGTTCAATCTATATTCAAAGGTTTTCTTTTCTATGAAGTTCAAGAAACATAATAGTACTGTTTGAAATTTCTCCGAAATGTTTCAACTATTAACATCAAAATTTTCTGTATTATAAGTGAATTTGTTTTGGTGATTTGTACTGGGAGTTAATTCAATAGTGGATAAATATATAATAATGAGCAGGGAACTTACCCAATAACAAACGTCAAATAGAAATGATGCCTAAAGAAACTAGAAATTATTTGCCTGCAAATCAACATAATATTAAGTATTCACAATGGTAATTCGATCCTACAATTTGGTAAACAAGACGAGTACAGCTGTAGTCGTCAGTATCATAAACACGGCATCTATCAAAATCTAGAAATACGAAACAATCTCTTTAACAAATCATAGAAGATATGCTTACCCAGATATAATATCTGAAAGGGATATCTCGTCGTAGTAGCTTATTCTTAGACGCTTCGAACAGCGTTAAATATTCTTCAGAAATTGACATGATTTTATTCCCTGAAATTAGACCAGAAATCTCATATGATCCTAGTTGTGGATTTTCACAAATACAAAAGCTATAGTATTTTGAAAAATAATACTTAATAATTTTACCAGACACTAGATTCACAATTCTTTATCAGTTTCAAGAGGAAGACATCTATTTTTCTTATGGACGGATATACCTCAATCAAGTAAGCGATGTCAATACAACCTTATTTCCGCTTTGAATACACTCAAGTCATGACTGAGGTGCCAAACTCCCGTCTATCGCTTGAATGGAACCTGAATAGGAACCGGTGAGTTGGACATGAATTCGAGGTTGACATCGAAGGCGATTTTGTGATGTGAAGGAGATAAGAGGAATGCAATGGAGATCTACTGATAAAGGTATCGACCGTGGGCACGGCACTACAGTATTACTCCAATATGGATAAGATTTCATTTTGATAAATCACACCGTGTTGTATAGTTTTATTTACTAATAGCAGTAAATATTACTGTACAAAACTGTGATATATGAAAAAAAACTTTTATCCATAATGGAGATATGAATTTATGGCGTGGCATGGGACGGACGGTTGGTTGTTCTGCAGCCAGCCCTTGTCGTGTGGTGGCTTATGGGGCTTCCACTCTTCATCAAAGGAGTTATTTGATAAGTTTGCCTTCCTTTTATTATATTTTTTATTAATTAGCTTCATGTTTAGGCCAGATTTTAGCTTTATGTTTACTATGCTAGGGCACTTAGGGGCCTTTCGGCCATAGTTTCCTTAGGGATGCCAAAGCATAGGAAAGCTATAAACCAATGGATAGCTCTCAGCGAGACCTATCTTTTGGCAGTGGTTTTCGCACTCCATAGCTTCTCCTCAGCCCCATCAGGAACTTTGATTGCTGGGCTAGGGCCCTCCGGGGCTATGCTGCCAAAATTTTTCTAGGGAGGCTAGGACTTAGGTGAAGCTACACACCAATGGATAGAACTCGCCGAGATCTATCTTTTGGCAGTGGTTTCGAACCAAGTAGCTCCTCCTCAGCCGAATAGGGACTTTTCTAAACTGGGCTAGGGCCCTAGGGACCATACTGCTGAAACCTTAGTAGGGAGGCTAGGACCTAGGGAAACTATATATCAATCGATAGCTCTCCATAAGATCTACCCATTGATGCCGGTTTCGCACCTTATAGCTTCTCCTCAGCCGAATAGGGATTTTTCAAAGGCTGCAGGGGAAATCCTGTCTCTAGGCTTAGAGATCATGCTGCATGCTGACCTCGTGACATTTCTAGCTCCGCACCTCTAGGTTGCTTGCCATGTTGTATGTAGCAGGGGGCATTGTCAACCTTAGGGCCACAGGGAGGCATAGACTGCTAGGCACAAAATCCCCCGTATTTTTCTTAGGAATAGGATTTATATACCATTCGATTCTACTTGACGAGACGAATCGATTGGTACCTGTCTTGCTTTTGTAGGGCTTACTGTTGCGGAGACATGGTAAGGTAAGTTAGATAAGGTATGTATTATAAGTCCACCTTAGGGGGACAAGCCTTAGGTAACATCGCTCTAAGAGAGGAGATGGTTCCCACCAGGCACTATCAAACACAATACTGGGCAGATGGAGCTCATAAGTCCAGAAAGACAGTCCATCTTCGGGAGACAACCCTGAGGAAAAATCGGTCTTGGATAGGAGATGGGTGCCACCAAGACCTATCAAACCCAATACTGGGCAGATGGAGCTCATGAGTCCAGAAAGACAGTCCATCTTCGGGAGACAACCCTGAGGAAAAATCGGTCTTGGATAGGAGATGGGTGCCACCAAGACCTATCAAACCCAATACTGGGCAGATGGAGCTCATGAGTCCAGAAAGACAGTCCATCTTCGGGAGACAACCCTGAGGAAAAATCGGTCTTGGATAGGAGATGGGTGCCACCAAGACCTATCAAACCCAATACTGGGCAGATGGAGCTCATGAGTCCAGAAAGACAGTCCATCTTCGGGAGACAACCCTGAGGAAAAATCGGTGTTGGATATGAGATGGGTGCCGTCAAGACCTATCAAACCCAGTGTAATGCTATGATGAGAACAATATCAGTAAACGCCATGCCGGATCGGTCGGGGCCCGGTTTAACAACGACCGCGCTTTCTGCTGCCGTGTCACAGGGCAGAAGTGATAAGTTAGCTACTGAGACACACCAACTAATAAAACTCCCAAATGCTGACACAGTCATAGGAACATGGAATGTTCGAACGCTTTATGCCTGTGGGAAAGTAAAAGAACTGACCCATGAACTCAGTAAATACCGATGGGACATCCTAGGCTTATCAGAAGTTAGGTGGACAGGCTCGGGAGTAACAACTACAGAAGAGGGTCATAAGATATGGTACAGTGGGGACGAAGAGAAACACCAACATGGTGTGGGTTTCATCGTAAACAAAAAACAAGTTAACTCTGTAATAAGCTGTAGACCCGTAAACAATAGAATCATTTCTCTACGAGTTAGGGCTCAACCACTTAACATAACAATAATACAAGTTTATGCGCCTACATCTGAATACCGGGACGAGGAAGTAGAATGCTTCTATGATGAACTAGAGGAGTGTATTAATGAGACTCCGAAAAAAGACATTCTTATTGTCATGGGTGACTGGAATGCTAAGGTAGGTGAAGATGCATACGACCAATGGGCAGGCACAGCTGGACGTTTTGGATTAGGTGAAACCAATGAGAGAGGAATAAGACTGCTGGAATTTGCAAGCAGCCACAAGCTCACACTGGCCAACACTCTATTCCCTCATAAGACATCAAGGAAAACAACATGGCACTCACCTGACAACAAAACACATAGCCAGATAGACTACATTCTGTTCCCAGCAAGATTCAAGTCAAGCATTAACAAGGCTAAAACCAGAACTTTTCCTGGAGCAGACATAGGCAGCGATCATGACATGGTTTTAATGACTATAAAATTAAAACTAAAACAGAACCGCAGACAAATAAGCCCTCGAATCAGATATGACCCAGAGAAACTTAGGGACCCAAACATAGCAGAAATGTTTAAGGCAAATGTAGGGGGCAAGTTCGCTGCACTTACCTTGATTCACGACGATATCGATTCACTCACTGAAACCATTAAAACAGTGCTGCATGAATCAGCAACAGAAGTTCTGGGTAACAAAAGAAAGAAAATCAAACCATGGGTCACAGACGATATTTTAAACCTGTGTGATACAAGAAGAGAACTAAAAAAGAAGAAAGGACTTAATTCCCAGTACAGGGAAGAGTATAGAACAGTAGACAAAGAAATAGGCTCTAAAATGAAGAGGGCAAAAGAGGGCTGGATTACTGAACAATGTAATATCATCGATAATAGCTTAAGGGGAGGCAACAATAAAAAAGCATTCGAAACACTGAGTAAGCTGACCAATACGAAACTAAATAGAGCAACCGTAATTGAGGATGGTAAAGGCACCCTCTTAACAGAAGAAGCAGATATCCTTAGAAGGTGGACAGAATACTGTAAGGGACTCTACAATCATAAAATAAGCCCCAATTATAGCCTAATAAACAATTCATGCTGGGACAATAGGGAGATCGGTGATTCACCCATACTAGAGTCAGAAGTAGAGGAAGCAATAAAATCACTTAAGGGAGATAAATCACCAGGAATTGACAACATACCGGCAGAACTAATTAAACATGGTGGACCACAAACAGTTAAATGGCTGAAAGCAGCCTGTCAAAAAATCTGGCAAGAAAAAGAATGGCCTAAAGAATGGACTCAGTCACTAATCATTCCAATATTTAAGAAAGGGGACGCAAAGCAGTGCGAGAACTACAGAACAATAAGTTTAATCAGCCACCCAAGTAAAGTCATGCTGAAAGTAATATTGAACAGACTCAAAAAGAAAGTAGAGGAAATACTCTCAGAAGAACAGGCCGGATTCAGGCCGGGCAGAAGCACTGCTGAAAAAATTTTTAACATAAGGGTACTAAACGAAAAATGTCTACAACACCAAAAAATGCTAGTACACAACTTTATCGATTTTAAGAAGGCCTTTGACCGTGTGTGGCACGAAGGCTTATGGCAAGTCATGAATAACTACAGTATAGATAAAAACATAATTGAGGTTATTAAGTCTTTATATAACAAATCTAGTAGTGCAGTATCTCTAAATAATCAAACTGGCGAGTTCTTCAGAACAACTATAGGAGTACGCCAAGGGTGCATTCTCTCACCAGTCCTCTTTAATTTATTCCTCGAACATATTATGACACAAACCCTACATGACTTTACACCGACACTTAGCATAAACGGAAGACCAATTTCCAACCTCAGATTTGCTGATGATATAGCCCTCATTGGGGAAAACATTGATCAAGTACAGGACCTCACCTCAAGACTTGATGTTGCAGCCAAATCTGTGGGCATGGAAATCAGCACAGAAAAAAGCAAAATACTCATTAACGGAGGAAACAACTCAGATAGATGTATCAGACTTGATGGACATGTATTAGAAGAGGTTGAAACTTTCAAATACCTTGGGTCTACCCTAACAAAAGATGGAAGGTCCACTAAGGAAATAAAAATTCGACTAAACCTAGCCTCTGCCACCATGTCCAAGTTAGGGAAAATATGGAAGAGCAACATCAGCGTCTCAGCAAAAATGAAACTCTACTCGTCACTGGTCCTCTCTGTATTACTATATGGATGTGAGAGCTGGACCCTGAATGCAGAGTCAGAAAGAAGAATACAAGCCTTCGAAAACAAAAGCTATAGAAGGATCCTAGGAATAAGTTACCTTGAAAGGAAAACTAATGAATATGTCTTACACCAGGTCCATAGACTGGCAGGAAAACAGGAACCACTCCTTTCAATCGTAAAGAAACGGAAACTACAATGGTTCGGCCACACGGTAAGACATGACACATTGTCCAAAACGATTCTACAAGGCACAGTAGGAGGAGCACGAAAGAGAGGTCGACCGAATAAGAGCTGGCTTGACAACATAAAAGAGTGGACTGAAATGCCCTTGGATACGCTACAGAAAATAGCATTAAACCGAGAAGAATGGCGAAGACTGATAGCGCGAACTGTCATAGCACCCCCACGACGAAAGTCAAGGGACTGATGATGAGATATGCTGCTGAAGCCCTTTGTTCCACGTGGAAACAAAAGTTATAATAATGATAATTAAGTTTCTGCGGAAATGGATGATTTACTCTCTATGAGAAACACCATCCAGTGAGGAGTTCAGAAAGGTTACTTTAAACCTGACTATTATTTTACCTGCTTAACGAGAATAATTGTCACGAATGTGTGTATCAAATTTTGTACGTTAAGTATATTCGCCATAATAATTGGCATTTTGGAATAAATAACACGATGGATATATTTGTAATTCGCACTTACTTCTGTCTTCGAATGTGAGCCTTTGGAAATATTCACTTATTTTCCAGCGCTTATATTAATATGAATTTTTGATAAAATTTATTAACGCAATTTTATATACAGAGTGATCATAGTACGTTCATAGTGGTTTAATGCTATCACATTTCATATAAAATCACCTTTGTTACAATAGTCGAATTTTGTAAGTTATTTTTGAATGCTGTACACACAAACACATAAAACCATTGATATCAAAGCAAAGAGTCGGTACACATTACAGAGTTATTGTGTGCATATTTTTTATTAGCGAAGTTTTTCAAACGAAAAAACAACAAAATATTGAGCGTGTAAAGGTTATAAGTCACAGGACGATGATTATTTCAGTAACACAAAGTAATTTAGTTTTAAAATAATGATGGAAGGGAATATCAGCTAAGATCAACGATGTCTATAGGATTGTCTACTTCCAAATAGGTAATCTGACTGGGAAACGTGAAATGCTCATTTTGTCAATATCTTCCATGCTCACTTCAATGTGCATCTCAAGTATCTGACTTTACCGTTTTAGGGAGCCGCAATAACTGAATTACTATCATCAAAACTACGAAAAATAACAGCCCAAACATTCTTCGCAGCAACTCTGTGTTTACAATTCGTCACCCGTGGTATAATTTCAATACAGGTGAAGGACAATCTACCGAGTCCAGCCATATCAATGTGCATTTATAAATTCCACTTTTCATTTGGAGACAATTACATTGGTAGAACGACTCGGAAAACCAACGTCAACTTCTCGAGTGATATCTAGAGAATTATCTTGTAGAAGTGAGAAAATTTGTCGTTAGCATGGCAGTAATTTAGAGATAAGTGGGTACTAATTGATGATGAAATACGGTGATTAGAAGTCACAAGGTAGAAAAATCAAAATTTGGTATCGAAGGTGACAAATGAAATGATGATAATTTATTTATACGTCCCAACTAACTTGGTAACTGTCTCACGCATTTCCTTTAGACTGTTTATCATTAAAAAAGGACGAAATCAACATGTGACATTCAAACGTTCAACTATTTACATTTTTCCATGTTTACTCTCGAATTGTAATGCTTCCCTTTGTGATTGTGTGTACTTCAACAATGTGTTGTTTAACGGTATGAGTTTGTTACAGTGAACAAAGGTCATTCTGACCCGCGGCTGTCTTGGGGAAGCCTAGGTAGGTGAATAATGTGGACAGAGCTATTGATCCCAACGAGTTAGAAATATTCTCTTCGATTCTAAGTTGCCTTTTACAGTTGAACTTTAGTTAACTAAGGTTGCCTTACAGTTCTGGTTTTGCAATTAGAAACTAGCATTTCCTTGTAGCTGCCTCACAGCACTGTTGACATAAATTTTAGTTTTGATTTTATTATTGTTTAATACAACCGCAGAAATATTGAAGAATGATCGTCTTTTCCTGCATTTGGATAGCCAGTGATAGCGCGTGTCTCACAGAAATTTCATCAGTTATATAGTGGGACTAGAGATCACTTCATAGCTTTTAGACCATAACCGCATAAATTTCGTCGTAAGAGTAATACGTAGGGTAGACTTCCAGCAAACAAAATCAAATCTTATATAAATCTGGCGAGAAATTATGTTATCAGATGACAATTAGTCACTAAGGAGGGATTTGCTGGGTCAATACAATTCCCACTATGGATTTCTTTTCAATCGCATAGGTCATATTTTAGCCGTTTACACTGCAATGGTCTCAGCAAACTGAGGAAGACTTCGAATGGTTTGTCTGTTGATTGATTCGGATGCCTCTAATGTTTAACTTGCCGTCTTCTGTCTATCACGTGTTTGGCTATTGACTAGTCCGAACTACTCATTTTTTGGTTCAAGTTCAAAAATTGTGACTAAGGCCCAACTTTATGCTCTCCTAAAGTGACTGTCACTGTAGCTACTTGTGAATCAATATACACAGTTGGATGTCACATAAGAGAGGTGCGTGTCTAGATCTCATTACGTCCTACTACTTAAACAAACCACCTCAATTCGTTGAATTAAATTATTTCGCTTTACACTGATCGAATTGGCTTCAATCTCATTACATCACTTCCCACCATTCTGTTGCATCAATGAGTTCTGATTTTCCATTCTGGCTATGACTTTACTCTCAAGAAAGGTGCGCATGAATAAATGTGACGCCACATTAATCAACATCCAAACTTGAATACATCAAAAGATATTTTCATTTTATTCTACGGTGTTTCATTCTGAGAGATTGTGTAATCATGTGTTGCAAGCTGAATATAATGACGATGTGATAAGCCAGTTTTTGGACGATTTATCTCAGTAAAATGTTGCCAACAAGTGAGGATTTTTGCGTGGTTCGCAGACAAAATACTTGTGAGGTAAATAAAATATATTTACGCAATGGTTGATAACAGGATTCGATACCTGTTCACAAATCCTGAAAACCAAATGGAAGTGGATGGCAAACTCTGAAATGATATCGTTCATACGCAGGCTTGACATTTTATGGAATCAAAGAATATCAGCGAATACGAGGAATACGCTTGAGGCAAATATATATTGTTCGAACACCAACGAATTGCATTAGAACCAGTTGAAGCCAATCCACAGAAATAATTCGACTGTTCAAAGTACGAAGTAGCAGGTCATTGATGTCTGTTTAAGTAACTGGAAACTGTACATTAGCAGCCCACAGTAAAACAACAGCATTCAGAAGAGTCGTAGTTAATTGCCAGAGTACCATTAGGCCTAATCGGTCAACTTAATTGGTGCAGGTTGGCACCGAGTTTCGACTAATGTGCAGTTATTTCAGTGTCCCGTCAAATATTTTAAATATTTCTGGGAATCATGAATTCATTTGATTAACTTAGATGGACAAGTATAAAGATATATATACCTACACACCTATCTCACTTAGAAAGGTGTCCACATCTTCTCCAGAACCCATCATTAATATGCCAGAAAAAAGCAAGCATCCGTTGAAATATTCCTTATAATTCCACTGAGAATTCCCAAACGATTTTCGCTTCTGTGAAAACAGTGATAAGCAGATAAAACCAGAACATCTATTTCAAAAGTTTCCTTTATATCAAAAATGTGACATGTGAATTGTCGTATTATCAACAGAAAATCATGAGAACACACGAATCACTTAGAATATTGGAGGAGATACTGTGGGACAGTCAACTGCCATAAAAATCATTTAAGAATATCCGTGATAACCAGAGCTGCCTACAAGAAAAAAAGACCAGTATCAATAAAGAATGTCTACACTTTCAATCAGTTTTTAACTTTCTCTTTTAACAGAAGTCAATAATAGAAGTTTCTCAGAAAAATTTGAATATTTCTAATATGAAATATGATTCGTACTTGTTTTAGTAATGGTGCCAGTTATACCTAATATGATATATATATATACGATTAATATTTGCAGGCTGGAGGATATTTAATTTAAAAAAGATAAAAACATGATTATTTAATGTAGCCAGTTTGTATACTAGTATTGCCACTAACAAAGATGTGAAGGCGGTTAAGAGTGAACTGAACATTGGTTCTGAACTCAGACGTAGCACTAGCCTCTACAATGATGAAAGTACAATACCTGTTCAGTTACGTATGACCACCACGGCATTCAAATTTCAAAACAAACTAATTAAACAAATGAATGATGTGACTACGGCACTGTGATTTAATGGAATTTTCTTCCTAAGAAGTAAACCTTAAATATCACAGATTGTTGCAGCATCAGTACCTGAATAATGTTTTCAGCATACATAGTCGCTCATAACCATATAAGTTAAGTTATACTGTTCAACATGGAAAGTGGCAACAAAAAAGAGAAGTTGGAGAGAGAGGAAGAGAGTAAATTTATATGAGACAAATTGTGAAATGGTATAACTAAACTGATATGCTTATGAGCAATAATCATAACAACATCATTCAGCTGTTAATACTGTATCAGTGTGTGACACATAAAACAAACCTATGTGATATGGAAGAATGAGTACGGAGTGATGGCACTGATTTACCGACAGAAAGAATAAATCATTGATGTTGTTTCTTTTCTTAAATTGAACAGATAGAAACTGTTGCGAACTTACTAAACATACAGCAGTATTCCAGAAACCACCTGCCAATGCAGGATCCACCTGAAATATATCGCAATAATTGCAGTTTATCGTTCACACTGACAGATATAAGTCAACATAAATTATTGACGTTCTTATATGTATTTCAAGTGAACATTACCAACTGGTTAGGTCGGTGTAGCTAAATTATAGATAATCCTTTTTGGAGATAAAAACGGAATCTGCTTTATGTTAAGGAAGTAGACTGATGTAGTAGGGACTATAAAAATTGCAATTCATATATCGACATATCATGATTATTGTTCACCGACTTATTTTCCGAATAATGAAATGTCCTCAATGTGTTATTGTTTCTGAAAGAAAGATCCGCGTAATTCATGTTACTCAGAGGAATCAGATATGCCACATTCATGGAAAATTTCACTTATTACATGCAGAGAAACAAAAAGCGACTTGAATGAGAAATTCTTAAACAAAATAAAATGCAATCAGTACTGCGATACATTAAATATAAATAAATATATATGAATTTTACGAAATATGTGGGTATTACTTTTGACAATAATAACTTTAACTAATAAAATGCGTTTTTGATGATGATCAACATCAATTAAGAAGAAAATAAGTTGCCTAATTTTGAAAATATTTGAAGTGTTCTAGAGTTTTCTTCCGTATGCACAGTTGAGGCTTTCAGTTTTTGTTGATTAAGTTTGCAAGATCAGAGTTTAGCAGGTGCCTTATGAATTCGTCAATACATATCTTACCTTCTAGATACATTTGAAGTCGGGTGAATATCAGCATACATTAAGGGGCTCATGTTACATTGGTCATTGTTAGTACTACACTTACATGATCTTTGTATAAGTAGTAAAATACTGTCCCAGTTATATCCAAGACCACATCTAGGACTGCCATTACAATAAGCACTTGACTTTTGAACCGTCTAATCAGGGCGCACAAGATGATTGTGAGCAAATCTTCGAAAGCACAGAAGCCAATTAAAAGGTAACACCATAAATCCCATCCTGAGCAACATGCATAACAGATATTCGTGGTGCACAACAAAATCTAAAAACAAACCAAAATGAATACGTTAAAGTGAACACCAGAAATTAGATTCGTACATTCATTTTATTCATGAATAACATTCTTGAGACATGTGTACAGCAAATCACAAGAGATTACATTTTTCACTCTGAAATTCTAACTGGCTGTCAGAGAAAATAAAATTTCCAAATTTTTTCTCATCATGATTTTGATTTCGCTTGAGTGTTTTCCTAGTCCAGTACACTGGCAGTGGAAAAATTAATTTTATTCACTCTTCATTCAAGGTAATACGAGGCGAAAGTCAAGTAAAATCGCATCTGAGTTTTGCCTTTTATTATCACACCTTGGCATGATATGACTGAAACCTGGAAAGTAGCTGGGTTAACCCGAACAATTGAAAACGCTTTCTCGTACTGTTGCAGTCAGAGATTCTTATAAGTGACAAAGCCATCCAGTGATTCAATTAACAACAGTTCCATAACAAATTGGTGACATTTATCATAATATACTGAACTATGTATTAGCACCCATGCACAGCATTACATGACGATATTTCTGAAGTAGCTTCATTAGAATGAAATATCTCCACTCAGTTTGATCACTTCATCATATTCGTGTATCCGCTTTCGCTTCCTATACTTGTAGAAAACGATTTTGACTTCCAAGTGAACTGTACCATCGAGAACAAATGAATATTAATGAGTAAATTTAGATTTTGAGGCTGTTAAGAAACTTACAATGAGTGCCATAAAGAATAATGCCACTGAGAATTTATCCCTGAATATGAAGAATAATATGAGGAATAGGATGATGACCCCTCTAAAATACGAAAAGAAAAAAGACCATATTGATTCTGGAAATGGCAACAGAGCAATTCCATTATCGTTTTTATTTGTTCGAATTGAAAGTAGAATGTTGAGCTGTGAGCACGTAGCTTTGAATTTTTATTCGCAGTGTTACGGAGTTAAGTTACCAGCCTTTCCCTCAATTTTCCATCTTTACTACTACCAGCTTGGCGGATTTAGGAGTTAGTAGGACACTGTTCCGACATTCCACTCAGTGTTTGTCGTTGGCGAGCATTCTAACGCTGAATCGCTGATTCAAAGCACCTCACAGCCATATCGGTATGGGTGGATAAAAAGGCACACAATGATACCGTATTATTTCTTGATAACACTACAAGCGAAATTTACATTTCATGAACATATCACACAGTTGTGTTTGTGTAAAACCAGCCACTTTAATCATATGTGTTCGCATGATAGGATCTAACACGTAGTTCTCCAGTTCACTAGTTATCTACCCTGATCCATATTACAGAAAAGTGGAAAGCTGTGTGTAGGCCTAGCACTCGTACTTCGGAATATCAATCTTATAACTAAAGTAACTTCAAAGCACAACAAAAATGTAATAATTAAAATTATCTCTCTATCCTATCGGAGAGATGGAATGACGCAGACTGATGAGTTAGTCAGCGGATATGTCTACTTTCGGTGAAAAAATACAAACAAACACTGGTACTTGGGATGTTCATACAATGTAGCAAGTGAGGGAGGCTGGCCAGGTTAGCGAGTGAATGAGATGATTCTGCATAGAATTAAAAGGGATCTGCGATAGCATATGGAATTGAGGTGTCAGCCAGGATGTGATCATCATCAATTGAAACGCTTGTGCTGGGGGGTGCAATCTCTCCTTGCAGAATAAAGACAGGAAGATTTAAATATTGATGTATTACATAAGAGCTTGACTGGGAGAAGACAATAATGGCAGATATTTCATCACGGATTGGAAATCTCTCTTGAGGCGAAGTTAATGATATCAGATATAACTTCACAGGTTTCTGGGCTTTCAATCATTTGGTGATCGCAAGCAGTGCATACAAACACAATCATATATATATATATATGACAACATCAATTTCCTCCCACTGACACAGAAGAAACCAAAGAAATTTCAACTCAGTAGTGTTCAAGAAAGTGAAGACTCAATCTACTGGACATGAAGTCGAGAAGAGGAGCAGATATGAACTCAGACATTTATCTAATGCACAAAACCGTCAAGAACAAGCTACAAGCCTTCAAAGCGACTGGAGATAGACCATTTTTCAAGTTCGAAACTCAGAAACTTGAGGATAGAGCAAAAGCACACAATCATGATGGTCATCAAAGTGATGTTAGAGACACTGTGTAATCTCACTGAGGAAACCTGTATGGAAGAACGTTTGAACTCTCTGAAATTGCCGACTGTTAGGTCTTTGAACTCAGGAAATGCTAACGACATTAACGGAATCCATATGAGCAGCATATCATTCCCAGTATTTTGAGACACACCTTTGATGAATCAATTTTCTATAATTTCTTATTTAAATCATTCGGTAGCGGTACTGAAAGTTGAACTGTTCAGATATTCAGTAGGGTAAATAGGTTGTTTCTTGATAGAATTTCATCAGAATACGTTGTAAACTAGGCCTTGATTATCAGTCTACTGGAGCACAAAAGTATATGAAATTTGACCGAATGGTTTTCATGAATAAGGGTTATGAAGATATTTTATGAACAGGTCATATATTATGACTACAGCAGGATATCATGGTTTTGGATATGTGACAGTATTCTACATCTCACTAGATGAGTGAATGAAACCTGAAGTCAGCACTGGAATTCACTTCGTCGGCCATACCTTTCAATATTGGTGACTGCTAATTCTTGAGTTTTCAGTCAGTAGTTTCCAATTATTAGTTTATAGTATCACGAAAGTTTTGTTTAAATTCAACATAACGGAATGAAAAACTTACGAGCAAATCAATGATGCAATGGCCCAAAACATTTCACCTGCGCAAAGAATCAAAAATGTATTCAGCAACAACGATCAAAAGCACATTTTCTTTCAACGCTCAATATTCATCCATCATTGTACCTACGTGTTTTTGACGAATACACTGCACTAGATCAATAAATGATATCAGAGAGGGTTAACAGTTTCAGCTTCCGCGAGATCTTATTCTGGTGTCTCGATTATTGATGATAAGTATGGGTTGCCTATTTTAACGAGGCTTCACAGCTGGAAGAGCTATTTTTAGGGACAGAAAAAGGTGCCTTGAATTTCTAGACCCACTGTTTTATTCGCAATATGTTTATTTAAAGACTTGAAAAGGAAACGCTGAATATTTTAAAACTGACGGAAGCTAATCTTGCTTACACTTAAAATCTTTCTGTCTAGTGAATCCTTTTATTACACAAATATGTATAGAGGATTCGGCATATAGATATCTATGATAATAAGAATATGTTCACATCGCCTGAGACCTACATTTTCCCAGATGCCTAACTCTATTCATCAACATTACAAGGAACAGAATATGCAAATGTGGTGAATTCAGGATATGAACTCAAAATAAATTTAACAATAAATTATGAAAATAGAATTGCTTACTTCAGAATAAAGTTACACAGAAGTAGGTGGTAGTTACGTGTGCAGATTTCACGATTATTTAAATACATTCAAATCATACCAGATAATTCGATTTGTAGTATTCTTGCCACTTGTGTTGAAGTGTTTAATATTACCAACCAAAGGTTGAAAATATATTGTGCCACTAGTGCTTTTCATGTTTTGTCTCAAGAAGGTACCACAGTTTGTTTAAAAAACTCTGTGAACTCTTAAAACAGTTAAATATTTAAAAACAAGCTAAAACTGATTAGGAATTTTAACAAATATTTGCAAAGATTTTTTGTGAGATCATTACGTTGTTAGCGATGTGTTCTGAGTATTTTAAACTGATTCAAAGGTGATAATGAAGTTTATTTATTCACTATGCACTCTGAGAGTATAATGTGAAAAAAAACAGGAGTTTAATTTAATCTGTGATCAAATTGGTTATAGTTTATTGAATTTAGACGAAGTTCATAGAATTCAAAATAGAGTTGTGTAAAATATCCACTGATACTCCCGTGAACATGCTGCGTGTTATGCCTCTGACTTGTGTGCGCCATATATAAAACTATTATGACATGCTGACCATCCACACAACTATGCGCATTGCTGAGCTGATGAGCTTCAGACATTCTTTAAACAAGCTTGAATAGTTCTTATGATATCTTCTCCGTTCAGGTGCTGTGATACCGTGGCTGCTGGTTCCACCTACTTCTGTCAAATTTCGCAGTATCTATCCTGAGATTTGCTTCTCGTTTTATACCGAATCTCGTGAATATCATATAAGCTATTGAGATTTCGTGGTATGAGAAATCTCACCTCAATCTTCCAGTCTGTCTCGACTGTCCATTTCTTTCAATCATAAAGTGTCATCAACTGCTTATTTATAGACGTAAATCCAGAATAGCTTAATGATGTTTGCATTTTCATCGTCTTGTTTTCAAAACCATTAAACGTAATAAGAAATCAGTAGTTAACCTCATGTAGCGTTTATGAAAAAAATAGAATGAGAGCGATGCTTACAAGCCTACCCTCCATAAACAAAACCTCTGTTTCCTTTGCAGATTTGGATATATCACATAGTGAAGCCATATTGTTCAATCTATGCTATGTTCTCTGATGAAGATGCGTAGAGTTGCGAATTTATCAGTACATGATTCGCTTTTCCTGAATCCAGCTTGTCCTTCTGACGGAAGTCCGGAACCAGTTCATCCTATATTCTCTCAAGGATGATGCGACTTAATATTTTACTTGGCGTAAACAAGAGCATGATTCCACGCCAGTTTTTACACACAACTTAGTCACCCTTCTTTGGCAAATTTACGTGGTACCTCTTCTTCTCCTCAGTACGCACGTCTCGTTTTGGCAGTAATGGAGTGAGAACATCTGCCATAATCTATAAAGCCGTCTTCAATGCTTCGGAAGGGATGCTGTCTGGTCCTGCTACCTTCTTGGACTTCAGTATCTTGGTTGCTTTCAGGATTCCCTTCGGTGAAGGAGTGATGTCCACCACCAGTTCTGTGAGTGCTTTTTGTGGTATTTATGAGCGAGTCATCGGTAGTGGCCAATTCAAGAGGCCGTTAAAGTGGTCAGCACATTTTTGATTTGTTTCTTATCCTTGGTGATAAGACTATTTTGAGCATCTTTTATCGGTTTTATCATCTGGGCTGATCCTTTTCCAGATAGAGACTTGGTTATCTGATAAAGCGTCCTGATGTCCATTTGCCTGCGATCTGCCTGTTCTGCTTCATTTTCTTTTCTAGCACTCTTCTCCACCTAATTATTCAGTGCAGTGTACGTTGATCTCAACTTCTCCTTCTGTTGCTCATCCTTGCGCTAAGTCATCTTCTCTTTCACCAACCTTCTCTTCTTGACTACATTCGATATATGCTTTGAGAGCCATTCTTTATCGTCTTTCTTCTGTCTCCCTCAAACAGCTGTACGCGTTTCCTTGAACATCGCCTTCAGAAAGTTTGTTCCAATGTTCTTCCATACAGGTTTCCTCAGTGATGCCACGTAATGTGTCCGACTTTGCTCTAATCTCATCTGTATTGAAGAGATCCATTATAATTTCCTCCATCAGTTTCTTAATGTTGAGCTTGAATTGTGGTCTGTCTTGATTTCTTTTCAGTGGATTTTAGCTTCACCTTGAAGGCTCCTTCAACTAGATGATGGTCTGAGTCCACACTTGCTCCCCATCTCGATTTTGTTTCCAACTGTCTGCATCTTCACTTCATCGAGCACTATGGAGATGAAGTCTAACTGGTTTGTAGTGTGCCTGTCAGGCGAAACCCATGTTGCTTTGTGTATATATCTGTGTTTGTATACGCTCCCTCTGATCACCAAATCGCTGAAAGACCAGAAGTCTGCGAATAATTCCCCATTCT